CCACCCCGAGCACAAATATTCCGTTACTTTCGTATCGAAAGTCGAAACAAGACTGCTCGTATCAGGGCGAAGCCCTGAATGTTCCGACTGCCTATTAAGGTTTATGGAGCAGTAATAACCTTAAAAAATTAAAAGTTTTAAAACAAAATGAAATTTTTTTTCAATTTGATTTTTTTCTTCTCAAAATCATCCCCCCACATGCCACAAAAGTACAAAAGGATAGGTTGATTTTGCTACTTGTAACAAATAAATTATGACAATTAAGCTCCGTTAAACCAATTTAGAACGATTTCTAAGACGGATTAACTCTGCGCTTACGCGTTAATAGTGAGAAATATATCGAGCGTTAATTGTCCCAAATTCGCCAAAATGGCAATATTTAAACCCCCATAATTTTACGAAAAATGATAACAGGTAAAATATCTTTCCAAATTTGAGCTCAGGAAAATATTATTTTTCGAATGATATAAAAAAATTCCGTCAAAAACGGCCTAGTTAAAAAGCCGAAATTTGTCTGAAGAAATAAAACCCACCCCGAGCACAAATATTCCGTTACTTTTGTATCGAAAGTCGGAACAACAATAAAGTAAATTCGCACTAAAACTTGTATTGAGAATTCGAACTTTGCTGCATTCTTATTGGTAAAAAAATTGACCATTTTGATCTACTTTACAATCCCCCTTCATGAAAAGGGGGAATTGTTCGATAGATCTCTGCAAATGAGCCCAAACCAGTCATGGTTTTTCAAATCAATGCCATGAGAAACCCATTTAATCTATCTACAAAATGAGTGGGTCATATCAATTTTTTGTAAAATTTAACAATACAAGTTTATTTCAAAATTTATTAATTTAATTGGAAGAAAACGCGTTTGACCAGTGGCTTTTGATTGTTTGTCTTTTGTTAACAGGCAATGTTTTGCTGTTATCACTGAAACAGTTTAACTAATTTAATTTTCAAACCACATTGAAACAATCCTGCTCGTATCATTCCGACGCCCTGATCATTCCGACGCCCTGATCATTCCGACCCCTGATCATTCCGACTGCCCTTCATAATCGAGTCACTAAAACTAGTGCCAATTTTCATTACGAGAGGACTACGCCGATCAAATTTCAAATATAAAAAGTAGGAGAATGCAGAAAAGCCAGTTGCTAAATACAAAACTTGTTTAGATTTTTTTGAGCTCCCTTTTTTCTTCCCCCTGCGCACCCGCGAATTTTCACGAGTAAAGTATTTGTTCACCTAAATATTTTGTTATAAAAATTGACATGCAGACTAATTAGGTCACGACAAAGATATTTAGTTTTCGTAATTAACTTTTTTATTCCCCTTGTTCTACCATAAATTTGATGCTCAAGCGAAGGGAGGGAGGCTTGTGGGATGAGAGCCAATTTTTGTTGCAAGCTTCGGGAGATGCACTTTGGGAACAAGTTATGATTGTATCTGTGACTTACATCTGCTGCCGTTGATGATAGTCCCCCCACATATGCTGACCTTGCCTGGGTCATTGTCCGGTTTTTTCACTTCTAAAAAAGCAGCCCATGGATGGTCCTCATAATTAGCATCCCTCCCGTTGTAGATTCTATCACCGCCCGTTTTGATGTGATCCTTCTGTGGTGATGAGATCTTCACTTCGCTTTTTAAGGCAATGAATAGAGTCAAAAGAATACACAGAAAGTGAAGACTGAAATTATACTGCATATAAAATAAAACGCACTTTCTAGACGACCTATGCTTTATAAAAAAAAACATGGCGCTTTTTGTCCAATCCTCCCCCCCCCCCCCACCGCGCCTCACATGCACATTCATTTTATGGCGTAACGACTGGATTTACAAAAATAGACAGAAAGATTTTATGTTTGAAAAGTTTACCCAATTATTTTGTATGTCATTTTTCATAATATGCTGAAAGGCAAAAGTAAAATGGCATAGCAAAAACTCATAAGAAAATTGGTTTTTCTCAACATGGATAACATGAATTTATTTTAAAGGAACGGAGAGAGAGTCCGCAATAAAATTTGAAGGTGGCCAGACACGTTATTTGTACATTCAATTTATGCCAAATTTCTTTATTGTTTTTTTTTCATGCCAACTAGTTTTTGCGTCTCAGTATAGTATAGTCGGAAAATGCGAGTAAAAGATTTTCAATTAAAGTTTTGCTTTCGAGGGCATCCAGCATTTTTTTGCCAAAAACTAATTTTAAAATTTAAAATTACCGCTGTGTATTCTAAAACTCCAGTTTTCTTCATGTAATATAATCGTTATGAAATTTGACAGACATAGTAATTATTAAATTTTTCTCACGTTTGGTTTTCTTATAAAACCTTAACAAAATTAATGGGTTACCACGACAACTTGCAACAAAAGACAACTCGTAACAAAAACTGCAGCCGTGAATTTATTGCGAGTCTTTTTAATGCGAGTTGTCTATTATTTCGAGTTAGTCTTTTGCTGCGAGTTGCGGTATTAAGCTGTTGCGAGTTGTCGGGATCACACGAGAAATTGGTTTTGTCGGTGGCATGGGTGAGCCTAAAAGAGCCTTAGACGCGACTGGATATATGATAAATTATCGTTCTCAATAGGAAAAATGAATATCTAGATTTGGCGTTTCATTTTTTAAGAAAGGCGTCCCATGATTTTTAATGAGGTATCCAAAATTGAAATATTGAAATTGACAGAAGAAACTCCAATGTCAAAAATCACAGACTGACTTTTGCAGAGAGCGAGCTATGGGTGCTTTCAAACGGAAACAACTAATGATAGTTCATGACATTACTATGTTTAATTCTGGGTGCTCTCAAACGTTAAAAAGCTGAACCGATTGAACTGAAATATTGTATTATTGTTTTCTATAATAAATTTCATTTCAATAACATAAGTATGTTAATTCCAGTAGAGTGGAGAAATCCGATCAATACTTCTTGCTTTCCTCCTCCCTCTACAATAAAAAACGCATATTTCTGTGATAAAATTAGTCGATGCCTGTTTCGCATTCTAGCGCGTTTCAAAATTTGGACTGTTTTCCAGTCATTCTTTGATGTAGTCTGAAATGCAATTTCTAAAATGTGATCTTGTCCACTGCCCCCTCTTCTTAACCTCCACCTTCCATATTTTCAATTTTGAAAATATTTTGCACGCAACAATCGCTGCTCGTTAAAAAATGAATGATTGCTCGACAAAACACCCAGACCGAAGTTTCATGGATATTCATCGATTATATTGTCATTGTATAGTCATTATCTATAAAATTACATAAGTAATCGATTAGAATCCATTAAAAATGGATTATAATCCTAATACTTTTGTATCAATGAAACCCTTTTTAATTAATAATAATCCCTTATAATCCATTAACAAGACTGCTCGTGTATCAGGGCAAAGCCTCGAATGTTTTGACGGTCTCTTAATTCAAATCGAACAGTTTTTGTGGAAAAAAATATTGAAAATTCATACATTTTGGACAATATCAATGTGTAAAATTTTGAGTCGCACGAATTTAATACGACCAATTAGCTAGCCTCAATTCAATTTGGAACAATTTTTGTGGAGGATAATTCGCCACGCATAAGCAAGTCGCGTTACCTTCTCAGCATTTTGAAGAAATTTTTCAAAGCGCGCATAATTTAGTCCAAAACATGGAAAAAATTCAAACCCCCAGAACTTTACAAAAATTAATCGAAGGTAAAATATCTTTTACATTTCATTTCAAGAAGTCGATAGTTTCAATGGGGTATAACAAATTTTTATTGAAAAATATTATTTCGATCATTGAAAATTGACTGAATAAAAAATTCGCACCGAGCATAAATATTCCGTTTTCTTCCAAAGTCGAAACAAATTGGATTATTAGCACAATATTTTTATAACAATATAATCCAATAGAATAGATTATAATAATTTATAATGGATTTTTCAGAGGTTATTGGTGAGTTTTGCAATAAACTATTTCACTTCCCTTTTCTTGTTTAGTGCAGTTGCTGCGGATTACGTTTCGGTTTCATAAACTTAGATTTTTCACCTAAAATTTTATGGATTCAAGTTTCTCTACTTTTTCAACTTGGCAGTGTAACATTTCATTGAACTGTTGTTTTTTTTACCATCGCCATAGTAAAAAAATACCATTTGCACAAACCTCTGTAGTTAGGGGACATCTGACTGTAAAACGGGTAATCGTGAGGGGGGGGGGAGAGTTGGTGCAAGATCTATAGATAACTTTTTGTATTTTTTCATAAACTCGATTGAAAATAGAAAAAAATGAAATTAAGCAACAGATCAAAATAGCTAACTTAAGTTTAGCAAAATTATGAAAAAATTAAAACAACACGCAAAAATATTTAAATAAATAGATTATAATCCATCATAATCGATTAAAATGGATTATTTTTCTCTTAATAAATTTTTTTTGAAAATAATCGATTCTAATCGGTTATATGGGAATTTTATTTTCAATCGATTATAATCAATTACTTTTGTTATTTTAGAGAGACTCAAAATCCAATATAATTGATCATTATTCATGAAACTTCAGTGCGGGTTTACTTTTTGATCTTTCCTGATTCAATCAACTGGTCGCTACAAAACTTGAAACGCATCAGTTTAAAAAATAAGGCTTAAAATAACTCTCCGTGAAGCAGGCTGGTTTTTTCGTGTACAGTTTTGGCTGTTGAAGTGACTAAACTAGAACCTAGGGCGCCAAATGAAATTGTTAATTTTCTGTCACTTGAAAGATAACTGATTTTCAAATCTAGCCGTTATATAATTTTGGAGTCTATTTTTCTTTGATCTTCTTTTAGCTTTTGTTTTATTGTTTTTTGCATCTGCCTACCTAAAAATAGTAGAGTTACTTTTAACGCATTTTGATTTATTTTTGGCAAAAACCCGGCCCTTAAAAAACTCCATCTGAAAATCAAGTATCTTTAGTCGAAAGCAAAAAACCCATTCCCTTTTAGCTACCATTTTGACCACTTTTTAATACGACTAAAGTTAACTAACTAAATCACAAGATTTTCATATTTTTAGCTTTTAAATTCAACTTTCTTTGAATCGATTGAGAAAAACTGTTGAAAAATGAAACTTTCAGACGAACCTCTGACCTTTCTGTTGTTCCTTGGAGCAACTCTGATCTTCAGCTCATCCACTGGTGTCTCTGGCACAGGTGTCTCACTAGAAGATTTGCAACAACAAGCCCGCACCATGTTGAGGGTATTCAAAAATGATCTGAACGATGTGAGCAAAAATGCGCGAGAAGTCAACAAAAAACTGAAGAAAATGACTAAGGCAATTGGAGGAGCTGCAGACGAAATTGACATGGGGAATAGCAAACAGGTTGGATAAGAGTCAATGAAATCAAGGGAATCCAAAAAAATGTGCTTTTTTGAAACTTGTAAAATAGCCCGAAAAATAGCCCAAAAAATAGCCCGAAAAAAAACCTGCAGCAAAACAATTTTGTCCATTCGCTGGGAAAAGAATAAACAACAATTCAAACTATATTAAGTGTTTTCACTCTGTTCATATCGCTTTCATTTTAGTCGGGCGGAGATATGATACGCGAAATCAGCAAATTGCTAGAGACATCCAGCGACGTCGACACGGCGTTCGCCTACTCGACTTTGAAAGCAATGAACGAAACAGCAATTACCTCAGAAACCGACTACATTGCAGAGGTGATTTAGTTTGAGCCACTGCGAAGGTTGATATACTTAAGAAGTTATTTGAGCTTTTTTTGAGTCTAAAGGTCTTACTTAATACTGTAACTTTACTGCTCTACTAGGCAGGGGCGGATCTAGGATTTTCTCGAGGGGGGGGGGGGGGGGGCGGATTTTTAAAAAATTTTCCAAAATTTTGACGACCTTTTTTTTTTTTTTAGGTCGACCAAATTGATTTTTCGAGCTCTCCCAAAGCACTGTTTTGCCCCTATTTTGGCAAAGTTTTCTGCGCCGCAGGCAAATTTTTGAAAAAACAGTCAAAAAAAGCCGTTTTTGGGCACTTTTTGAAAAATGTTGACAAAAAAATAGCGTTTTTTTTGGCGCGCGCTCCCCCTCAAAGTTAGTATATATTGGCGCCGAAGGCGCTTTTAGAAAAATTTTAGGGTCGGTTGGTCAAAAAGGGATTTCTGAAAAAGTATCAAAGGGGGGACCCTTTGGGTCGGCAGGGGGTCGAATCCCTGAGGGGGGGCGTCTGCCCCCCCCCGCCCCCCCCCCCCCCCCCTAAATCCGCCCCTGCTACTAGGTATTACTTATTAATACTTAACCTAAATTTGAATCTCCTCCTGGCCAGTGTGTCGTCCAACTGGTTGAAGGCTTTTAAATTGTAACCTAACTTACTTTCCGATTATTACAAATAATTTTTACAGGTGAACGAGCTCAAAGACAAATTTCCAGACGACGCTGATTTGCAATCACTTGCGGAAAAGGCGATTGAGTACTCTGAGCAATACAAAACAGTGGTAGACTCGCTGATCACAAACGCTGACCGTTTGTTCGGACAAATGAAGGACGAACAAATGAAGACTGCTGATGTTTTAATGAGGGTGCAAGGAAAATAGGACCTATTTGGGAGAATAACTGATCATTATGTAAAGTAATGCACATGAAATCCGGTTCACATGATAAAGTTTCAACTTTGATTTCAAATTTAAGGTTAATGGGTAAATCAATTGGATTATCACATGATAATTAAAAATCATCGGTAATCACAAAAGTTTAGGCTCAATGCGTTTTAAAATGATCGGTACCATGAAACAAGGCATTATGTTTGCTTTCGCTACTAGGCCTACTGCACATGCCATTTCTGAAACACGTGATCCGGTTGTAAAAACTCTCCTTTCGTTCTATCCTCTTTTATCTTAAACACAAGCAAGTTGGAAGCTCAAAAACCCCCGCAAAAAATTGTTTCTATTCAAATTTTTACAATTTTTGACAGAATGTCGCCTCAACGTCAAACACTTGGACTTTCAAGCGTTTTTTAAGATGAAATTTTTTTCATGGAATTAGCAAAGTCAGAATAATCTGTATCATGAGGTATTTTCTTAATTCTACTGACATTTCTAGTAAACCTAATCAAATAAGGCAAGGATAGCCGGTTACTGTGCAAGCATTGCGAGAAACCAACCAAACCTCCGACTTTTTAAAGACTTTTCTGAAGTTTTTTGCTCAAGCAAGGGGTAGGCAATGGTAATAAAGTTGATAGAAGCGGCAAATCACTCTAAATAGTGGACCCGTAGCATGTTTAAAAATATACCAATTAAATTTGAAATTGTGGAAAATTCTTAGTATTATTGTCGAACAATCTCTCAGGAAAACCAAAAGGCAAAATTGAGATACCACACGACCGGTAAAATATAAATTTAGGTACTATTTGAGATTGCAAGTAAGTTCAAAGACTTCGGTAATGAAATCAAGAAAGGAGCCCTTGTTTTCGCCATGCAAAATGAAATTGAGTTTGATGTTTCATGACAGTGGGTAAAACAGTGCGATTTGACACAACAAAACTCATGATTAGCACATTTATTTAAAAAACATCTGGACATCGCTGAACACCGGGAAAATTTCTTAGTTCTCTCAGTAACATCCGGGAAACAATTTCACAATGCGTTCTTAGTTAGACCCAACATGTCAAAACTATTATCAGGAAAGATAAGAGTTCAAAAAATACTACCGTAATGTACTACGCTTGTACTAGAGAAACTGCTCGACAAGTTTTTTGTCTCTCGCTCAGTCCGTTGTCATATTTGATCTGAATCCCGAGTCGAGATTTTTCACCTAATTTGAAGCAAGATTTGAGCGGTTTGAGCGTTTTTTCTTAGACAATTACGCTCAAAATTTTGCTTCAAAATGAGCGGTTTGAGCGGTTTTTGAACGGTATATCTAAAAAAAACCGCGCAAGATTTGAACGGTTTTGAGCGGTTTATCTAAAAAAACCGCTCAAAAACCGCGCAAGATTTGAGCGGTTTAACTAGAAAAACTGCTCAAAAACCGCTCAAACCTTGCGCGGTTTTTGAGCGATTTTTTTAGATAAACCGCTCAAAACCGTTCAAATCTTTTAGGAAAAAATGGTTATCATACAATTTTCATATATAGAAATTTTATGATAACCATTTTATTATCTTCAAACTAAATTTTCGTTTTTGATGAGCAATGTGCTTTAAATTGAATAAAAGTACTTGTAGGATAACCATTTTTTTCCGAAAAAAAATAAACGTAGTTATTTTTCATTACCAGATTTGTTCTATTTGGTTCAAATAGCCGGAGAAACTGTTTTGAATCTTTTTTCAATGTTTTTTTGAAATTGTATGAAAATTAGCATTTTTCCATACATTTGATGTAGGAAGTTGTAAGAAAAGCATTTTCGGTGTGGCGAAATGTAAGATAAGCCTTTTCGGTTTATGGAGGTCAACCCGGGTAGTATTTCAACTGCATCTTTCGTCACATTACCTTTCCAGGCCTTTTTGTTGGTTTTAATCGGTTTTCTTTATAAGACCGCTCGAAAACCGCTTAAAAACCGCTCAAATCTTGCTTGAAAAACCGTTCAAAAATCACCGCAAGAAATGAGCGGTTTTTTAAGCAAGATTTGAGCGGTTTGAGCGGTTTTTCCAAAAAAAAACGCCCAAACCGCCGAAAACGCTCAAACCGCTCAAATCTTGCTGGAAAACCGCTCAAACCGCCCATATCTTGAGCGGTTTTTGAGCGGGATTTGACCCTGGTGCCCCCCCCCCCCCCGCATACTGCCCGTCCCCCGCCCACTACCCCTCTCCCCTTAATTGAAAGAGGGGGTATTTAATGGGTGAAGGTGGGGGGGGGGGGGGGGGGGGGAGAGGGTGGGAGAGGGAGAGGGTGGCAACACCAACCCCCTACTTGGGTGTACTTTTAACCACCCCACACCCTCCGCCTGTTTAGGCCACTGCCGCCGTGTGCGGGGTGGGGGGGGGGGGGGGCTGCAGGTAACTTGACTGTTTATACCCTTTGAAAGCTTCGATCTCTATGTACTGAAGTGAATGATTTGAAATCAGTGGACTAATAAATCTCAAAAAGCTGATATATACCTGTGGTAATTCATATAAACAGTAGCGCAATATGTTCTTCTGTTTAAAACGTACAAGCGTCCAACAAGCGTCCAAGACAACACCAAACAATTTCGATAGACTTCAATAGAGAGCAGCAATATAGAATTGCAAAAAGGATTGATAAAATCATTACGGGGAAACAGCCCATGACCTGGCGCTAATATCGACGGTAAAAACCTCATCAAACATTTAATTTAAAAAACGGTCCCCCACCAAATTGATAACAGACTTATTCATTGAACCATTGAATGATCATTTGACAAGGCATTCAATTCAAGCTTCGGTACGAAACGCACCTGTATGACAGCAACTGTCGTTTTCCCAACGACAACTGTCAGTGTGAAACAGAAGTTTTCCAGCTGTAACCAGCTTTTTGTGACTCATCGTATTCAGTTGGTGTGGTGAAATAGTTTCATCTGATATTCGTCTGAAAAAAAGGCCAAAAAAATGCCATGTCAAAAAAATTGACATGATGTCAAAGGGTGGTTAATTGTCCCATGGGGGATCGTTTACACGACAAATTCCCATTAGCAGTATTTGAGTTCTTAAAGTGAAGGGCGCGGCCAGAATCTGCGACTAAAATGTGACGGCATGATGCTTGAACTTGTTCACTGAGATATTGAACAATTGAAGACGTGGTTTTCACAGCAGTTTCAAACCAAAAATTTTTCAAGATGGTCCCCACCTCAGTCTCAAAACCAGATACTATGAGGCCTTTTTTTTGCACAAAATGCAACGTTTTTGTTTGCAGTGTTATGCAATTTTAAGCGTGTTTACGTTTTTTCAATCATATTTAATATAATTTTGAAACAAGTAAACTTGAAGCTAATTTCAATCAATAATATTTTTTGAATCAGACATCATTTGACGATTCCTTGCGTTTTGCCACTTGATTAATCCTTGCCTAATCTTCGCATAACTGTTGAGCAGTGTTGATCTTTCGCTGCAAACAGTTATTTTGTGTAATTGTGTAAAACAATCGGCTGAGGGTTGCATCCCCTGTTTCATTGCTTGAAGCTGAGGATAACTGAGGCCAGGGCCGGATCTAGGATTTTCTCACGGGGGAGGGGGCGGACTTTGACGACCCTTTTTTTAGGTCGACCAAATTGATATTTGGAGCTCTCCCAAAGCACTAAAAAGTCCTGCTTTGGCAAAATTTTGTGCGCCGCAGGCAAAATTTTGGAAAAACAGGCCAGAAAAGGCGTTTTTAGGCACTTTTTGGAAAATGTTTGCCAAAAAATTGCGTTTTTTCTTCGCGTGATCCCGCCTCAAAATTAGTATATATTGGTGCCGAAGGCGCCTTTAAAAAATGTTTAGGGTCCATCACCAAAAAAAGATATTTCAAAAAAGGCAGGTGGTCGGCAGGTGGTCGAATCATGAAAGGAGGCGTCCATCCCCAACCCCCCCCCCCCTAAATCCGCTACTGAGATAAACTGTGACCTAATTTTCCGCTAGTTGAATAAATTTTTTTTTCGCCTGGTTGATCCATATGCAACTGTTATGTTTAAAATACTCAGATGTTTTTTGTGCTTTTTTTAATCGTAATTTCTAATCTAATAAGTTTGTTCTTCCAGAGCGATAACTTGATGTTTGATTTTTTAAGGTCTTTAATTCTATTTATCAAACGATTTGCGCTTAGTTCTAGAACAAATTCTTTTATGACGCTCATAAATGGTCATCAGTCTGGATGAGCTGCGTTTACTGCAGCTAAATCTTTGATAGACAGAAATATCAGGAGATAAGAAGCCTGTGAAGTTGATTCATTTTCTATAGAAGCACGAGCTTTGCTCGTAATCTTACCATCATTTCCTACCAAGCAGCTACTTTGGGTAAACCGGATGCTTGAGTCTTGCTTCTTGCTTGCAACAATCGATCCCGCGTCGAGGTGCTCGACTTATAATTCGACTGACAAGCCGCTGTCGAGAAGCAGTTTTAATTCGAGCACAAAGTCAAAACACTACCAATTTCAGTCGAGAAAGTCAAAACACCGCTAGAGAAAATCGAAACATACCTAATTTTGGTCGAGAAAGTCAAAAACTAGGTCGAGCACCAAGTCAAAACACACCCAATTTTGTTCCTTTTTCATGGCTTGTTCATCGTTCATAGCCAAGGTTTATTCACACTCTGCATGATGCTTTCAAAATTTCTACGCTATGTGGCTACATAATACAGAAAGATAATTGTTGTTCCGAATTTCGTAACGAAAGCATCAGCATAACTAAGCTCGGGGTGATTTTTTTTTCCTCAGACAAGTTTCGACTTTTTAAATAGCCATTTATGAATTTTTTTTTCAAAAATCATAAAAAAGGTATTTTTGTCTTGAGCTTGAACTTGAAAAAGTATTTAACTTGTGATCTTTTTTCGTAAAGTTATGGGGGTTCAGAGATTGTCATTTTGGCCAATTTGGGACAATTAAAGTCGGATACATTTCGCGCTATAAACGCGTAAGCGGAGATTTATTTTGTCTTAAGAATCCTACCAAATTGCTTGAAGAAAGCTTATTTGCCACATTTGATATGTAGTAGGAGCCAAATCTATCATTTTGAAAGTAACGGATTTTTTTTTGCTCGGGGTGGTTGT